ACAGGTTTGTGGTTCCCCTTCCAATCTAAAGAGAACTGTAATATAAGAAAGGAAACAAAGCCCATGACTTTAGTGAGTAGAGTTCAGATAGAAAGGAAATAGAGAGATATTTCTAAATCCTAGATTTCACAGGTAATTGGAATTCTGTAATAGTTGGAATATTTTGTGTTTGCAGGAACCTTCGTCGGCTGTGAGTGCTGGCATGGCTACTCCAGATTGGTCTGGTTTTCAGGTCTAAGACAGATTCCTCTGTCTTATGGATCTATGGTCTCTTTTATAATTGCATTGTATCATAATGGGTTTCTTTTTATTTTGTCCTTTGACAGGCATATTCTCCTATGCCACCTCATGGTTTTGTGGCATCAAGTCCCCAACCTCACCCTTATATGTGGGGGGTTCAGGTAAACTGGCTTACATTTATCGCTTGTAAGTGTGATGTTTATATCGATGTTCAGAGTGCTGGAAAGTTGCAAATGACATATTGATTTTTCTCTTTTGGACTTCTGGGAGGTTCAGGGGTTTAGTTTACGTGAGTTATAGCGTTTATAATTGATATTTGCATGCTTGGGGAATCGGTCTTGTTCTAAGTCAAAATTGTTATTGTCTCCCACTGTAGTAACGAATTCGTTCAGCTCTTTATCATCATACAGCTTTGATTGATTGCTGAACGTGACATCAACTTTTGTAGCATATGATGCCTCCTTATGGAACTCCGCCTCATCCGTACGTTGCAATGTATCCCCCAGGTGGCATGTATGGGCATCCTTCAATGCCTCCGGTACTGCCATACTGTAGATGTTCGATTGCAATGGATTTATGTTGAAATGGTGGCTTCTAATCATTACTTGAACACCTTTTATTCTGTATCAGGGTTCTTATCCATTTAGCCCCTACGCTATGCCTTCTCCCAATGGAATGAGTGAAGCCTCTGTGAGTTTGCGTCTCATCACATTGGGATCTTTCTAAATTGGTCTGTGCTACTTTTTTTTTTTTACTGTGGGGTCATTATTGAGAGATACTTCTATGCAGGGCAATACTACTGGCGGCACTGAGGGTGATGCTAAACAATCTGATGCAAAGGAAAAATTGCCTATCAAAAGATCAAGAGGAAGCTTGGGAAGTTTGAACATGATTACAGGAAAGAACAATGAGCCTGGAAAAAACTCAGGCGCATCAGCTAATGGCGCTTACTCTAAAAGGCATGTAACTTGCTTGATTTATTCCAATCTAAGGGACGTGTATGTGTGGCTGTTATCATAGGATGTTTATTATGTCTGGACTAGGACCTCATTTGGACTAATGCTTGCTTCATTAGATAATATCTATTCTATTAACGCCCTGAGATTATCGGATTTTTTTTGTTACAGTGGGGAGAGTGCTTCTGATGGTTCAAGTGAAGGAAGTGATGCAAACTCTCACAATGTAAGTTTCTGAAAGCTATCCATCAGCCTTTTCAATTTACTTGTATTTTTTTAGGCATGCCTGCATTCTGACAACCATGTTGTGTCTGTGGTTGACCTTGTTGGTTGACTCTGTAATCCTTCATTTGAGTAACTTAAAAATTGTTTGCTAATAACCTACTATGAATCTGAATTTAGGCTCTTTATCGAATCACTAGTTGGTCTATTCAGATCTGTCAATCTCTTGGATTTTCGTTTATAAATTCCACGAGTGCTGCTAGCACTTGGAATGTGCACATTGGCACACGAAACTTTTCAGTTGTATACATTGCCTCGCAAAACATTTCTCTTGGATAGTCAGGGTCGAAAAGTCTTAAATCTACTCCATCTGCCTACAATGGCGTGGAGTTCCTTTAAAAATTATGATAGTGATTCTGATTTGCTTGCAATTCTTGTAGGACTCTGGATCTGGACAAGATGCGAAGGATGGTTGGTTTATGATTCTTTCTTTCTCTGTTAATTTCTATCATCTGACCAACACTGTGAAATCTGCTTACCAGAGAATGTTTTCTTGTTTGTTTTGCAATTCAGCTGATGCAGCATCTGAGAATGGTGGTTCTGCTAATGGACCCCGAAATGGAACTGATGGTACACCTATTCTACCAGTGAACCATATGGTGCCAATCATGCCAATGACAGCTGCAGGCGTTCCCGGCCCACCAACAAATTTAAATATTGGGATGGATTACTGGGGAGCTCCTACTTCATCCGCTATTCCTGGCATGCATGGGAAGGTATCTACACCAGTTCCTGGAGTTGTTGCTACAGGCTCGCGAGATGGTGGCCATTCACAACCCTGGTTACAGGTGAGTGTGCGTGCGCTTTTCTGCCTTAATCCTTTTCATAAATACGCAAATTCAATATTTTTTTTTTGGTTCTTCAACTGAAACTGCTTGTCTTGCAATTAGGACGATAGAGAATTGAAGCGGCAAAGACGGAAGCAGTCCAATAGGGAGTCTGCTCGAAGATCCAGATTGCGCAAACAGGTACTAAACATCCCTTTACTCCTCTAGCACCCCCATATGAGCAAATTATGGACACAGAAGAAGTTTTTGTGTTTCAGGCCGAATGTGATGAGCTGGCTCAACGTGCTGAGGTTTTGAATGAAGAAAACTCAAGTCTCAGAGCAGAAGTTAACAAGCTCAAGAGCCAGTGCGAGGAGCTCACCGCGCAGAATACCTCTCTCAAGGTTAAAGAAAAAACAACCTAACAGTAACAAAGTTGTGTCGATTTTAAGCCCCAAACTTAAGTAATAGCAGATACATCAGTGAAACTCCTTGTCTTGTCTTTTATTTGTTCTTGCAGGACCAACTTTTATCATTTCCTCCACTTGAAGGCATAAACATGGACAAGGACGACGAAGAACCAGACACCAATCAAATAGGCATCGGAGAGACAAAGGTTACTTCCTACAAAGACTCAACGTGAAGAGACATACAGCAAAACCAATTCCTAACACAGGTATAAAAGGTAGCAGCAGCAACAACAACACTCCGCGGTTCTTTGCTAACAGATGGTTGTAGGACTTTAGGTATCAGAGATCAATTGGTTTGGAATAGTTCTTTAGCCCTCTTGAGGATGTCCGGTCCAGTGTGCAAGTTATTAAAGCGTTTGGGAGAAAAAAATCCTCTTCTTTTAGTGTTTTTATTTGCCTTTAAATATATTTGCAGAAGCGAATTTGAGGCGATTAAGGCAATGTACTTTTATGTATCAAATGTACCCTTTTTACTTCTTTAGATTTTTTTCTTTCACTTCATGAATTTGTTATTACTTTTTTTTAGCGGTTGCGAATGAACATAAGCGTGCGTGTCTGAGACAATATATAGAACCGCATTACTTTTAAATTGTGTAGCTGATTTTGATATGTTGTAATCATGTCTTTTTGTTACTTTGGCTCCATCACTTGAGAAAGTCGTATAAACAAAAGAAAACAACCTCTTTTCATCAAGACTAAGTAATGCTCTGACAAAATCACATAAGTATCTGAATTACAGTTCTGAATTACAGTAATTTTCTCATGAGATTGAAGACCAGGAGAAGAGGTAGTTTTAGGTGCAAGGACTTATCCTAGGAAGTTTATGATCACCAGGTGGAGGACCAAATTGCAGAGGACAAAATCAGCAAAAGCTCGCTCTGGTGCTAAATCCTGCGATATTCAAAAGGAAACCAAAGACAATCACAAGAGTTAGATACATCTTAGAAGCCTGATGATTGTTGCGGACTTTAAGAAACTGTCATTAGTTTGGCCTGAGTAAGGTAAGTGGAGGATAGCGTAAAGTTACCTTAAATTCCTTGTTCTCTTTGTTCACTTGAATCCGGAGGCAGACTATAATAAGCACACGAAACAAAAACAGATGGTTACTTCAGTACCCAAAACATTCCCAAGCTAATCGTTAACAACAGATCGATATGAAGATAGGGAAACTTGTCTGATATAAAACATACTAAAACTCACCAGCAAGAACTGCAGTCCCGATACACGAGAGAACTCCTGAGAGAAATGAGTTGAACGGAAATGATCCAACAAGAGCCATGTAAGCAACCTGATCAATGACAGATATCAAGAGGCTAGTACTCAGTAACCAGATTCATCTTTAATCAGCAGATTCAAATCTGTTTATTATCCATACATGAGTCAAGAAATTACGCAATGACACTTGTGTCCCTTACTCGTAAATACTGAGATCAAACGCAAAAAGATGGATGCTTTACAAATAAAACCAATTGCAAATCAATGTCTTCGTAGTTGAACAGTAATCAACAATATAAGTATAACCCAAGGATTCAGGTATTCATCAAATTCTCGTAACCATGAACATCAAAACTCACAAATCTATTATACCAACCAATACATAACCGAAACGATACAGATCTAGAGCGCAGTTGAAGAAGAAAAAGAGATTAGAGTACCTGGATCAGAGCTGTGAAGATCGCAAAACAAACATACAGGTCGATGATCTGCGAAAACGAACAAGGGGATTTCAGTTTCGAAACAAATCGGAAAATCCATTGATCCATAGGCAAAYAWKA